CTTGACCACCAGTGCTTGGAGGTTTGGGAGAAGCTGTTAGATTTATCCTACAGCGCCCACAGTGAACTGAGTTTTGGCTGTGAAAAGCTGAGGTGGAATGAAGACCTGCGGTTGCCCTGCAGGACCAGGATTACCCTCTCTCTGCACACCCTAAGGACTAAGGAAGCACTTTCTTTGCTTCTTTTTTGCGGTACGCTGCGAACTTTGCCCCTACAGACAAACAGATTTGGCCATCGTGTGCGATTCCCTCTTTAGCATGAATCTTTACTTCATTGTATAACACTGTTATCTGCAGGAGGATTCTACAGTGAACCTATACGATTATATATTACAACACTCTGATGAGAGCGAGAAAAATCTTAAATATTTCAAGAGAGTTCTTTACTTCTCAATCAGGTCACTGGGTAAATAAGCCAACACTGCCATGAGGGGTTGAAGACTGTACAGCTGCTTACACGCTTGCCAGCAGCCATATCACTCTGCAACTCACCACTGGAGCCCAGCAGGTGTGAACCTGGTCAGTACTTATTATTATTATTATTATTATTATTATTATTATTATTATTATTATTATTATTTGCAGATACGAGTTTGCACAGCATTTGCACAAGATGAGAATCTTGCCATAGCTGTGGCTAACTGTGTGCACTAATGGTACCAATAAAGAGATGATGATGATGATGAAGAGGATGCAACGCAGTGAAAAAGCACGTAAAAACCCAGTCACACGCATAGTTCTTACCCCGTGCCAATCTCGGGCATTTCGCCGGTAAGGGGTTTATGGCCAACTGCAGCGTTCCGCCACATGCACGCATTTCAGCCATCAAGAAACACTTAACTAAACACCCCTCTCGATCACCCCCATTAGAGTTCCCCACACCGGCCAGCGATCGTATTCAAGATACCGAAGCACTTTCAGAGCGCGAGTTAATGAAAACCTAAAATATCCTCAAGTGACCCTGAGAGTTCGCCAATGGCTTGCACTGGTAGTCTAGTCGAAAACAGCTGGCTGCGTTTGAAACATCTGGATGCAGTCCAGGGCCCAATAAAAAACAAAAAGAGAAATGCTTTCAAATACGGCTTCGCGAAAAATCCCTTCCCGTTACTCTGTTTAAACTGAACAAGACATTTTCTGCAATGAAAGCTGGTGAGTGTGTGTGTGTGTGGGGGGTCTATCTTGTTGGCAGTGACTTGCAGAGGTGTTAGTGGAGGAATGGGAGTCAACAGGTCCCCACCGCTCCTCTCCTGCTCGCTGTCCTGTGCCTGGGCTGGAAAGGTGGGAAGTAGGTGGCTCTTCTTGGCCATTGTTGAACTAATGCAATCGAGGAATAATGAAATCAACATACCCTGCCATCAATGTGCACATCTGCACTGCAAACACAGTAGATAGAGAATATATTTGCTGATCTGATTGCAGTTCAGATACTTTGGCGAATGGAAATATCCTGTATACGGAGGCAGAATCAGAGGTGGTGTGCAGGTCTGGCACAAACCGTACTGCCAAAGCCAGTTGTCTAAGCCTGCCGATCACAGCCCTGTGATCAAAGTGACCCTCCATGTGGCCACCTTCGATAACAGCGAAGGTGATGCAACCTCTTCATGCCCCGGCCACGGGGGAAAGCACACCTGCTGTGACAGAGCCCTCGGACGTGCACAGTGACAAGGGGGAGTGGAACCAGTTACCTTTGCAGGGCCTGCAAGGCACGATCCCCAGGAATCCGAGCAGGCTGACCTCGTTGATGGGCAGGGTGCTGTCGGACCAGGCCGTGTCCAGGCTCCCGCTGCCGCAGCACTCCTGGTGGCTCACTCCCCGCATCAGCACCATGGCGCAGCGCGGCTCGCGGCCCTGCTGCAGCCAGCACATCCCGGCTGCGCGGGCACAGAAACACACAGGGTCACTCGGGATCACGGGGGATCGATCGGAGAAGCGTGGGATTGCACAGGATCACTCGGGATGGCT